AAATGAAAGGATCGAAAGTCAATGGTTCAATGCACTGATGTCTTATGATCATGCTCAATCAACTGCTCAGCAGGCAACATTGGTGTTTCTTGGGCGTTGAATAGGACACACAAATCATGGCTACTATGGCACACTGCAAAATACAGTGTTGCCTACAGAGCAGCTGCTTGATCATGTCATAAGTTTACCAATCTCTTAAATAATTAATAACTTTTCCCTGTCTCGTTTTACATAGAAACGATCTTCAGCAAAGTTGTAACTGAGAAAATTTTCTATCAGAATTGCTATTGAACTATTTCGCAGCTCAATATGGAAAAAGACTAGAAGGAAAAGAACAAAAAAATGAGATTTTCCATAGTAATTTAAATGTAAACTTCAAATGGCTTGTGCGAAGTCTGTTTCTAACCAAATGAGTTGTAACTTTAGGAGTCTAATCAGGACCCGATTTGAAACCATTTAAGCACTGTGGAGCGAAAAAGTCAAATTTTGCATCAGTCTAATGCTCATGCTCGTAGTCTAAGATTCAAAACAAACGTCGAAACCTCCCATTCTGGGAAATTCTCTTTAATCCCAAGTTTCGTTTCTTTTTGAATATTAACGACCGGGACATTTTTTAGGTTTGCACCGCGAAAACCGGGAAAAAACGGGAATTTGGAAATTAAAATTCACTGGACTGCCTGTTATTATCAAATAATTTGTTACTTTTAATCGCAGACAAACAGACATAATACTCGTATACTTATCATCGAATAAGCAATTAATTGTAAATTCAAAGTTCGTGGTTGATAGAATCGCCACCTGTGTCCTTTTTTTTATAATTCTAAACTTGTTTTTAGCAATTATCCTCACGATACGATTTCTTTTTTTTTCTAAGAAAATCTTGGAAGTTCTCCTCTGAATCTATTCACTTTAAAATTATCGTCCGAACACCCTTCAAATACTTTTAATTTAATTCTTTTTTTGAATTCTGTTAATAATTTTTGTGAAAATTATCTTGGAAGTATCCTTAAAATTCACTTGCTAGGAGATCACGATCCCCACATAATTTTTGCTCAGAATCACAAAGGAACTCTTCTTGAAGATTTCCTCACAACTCCATACTACAGAGTGTTCTAACATTTTCTTAATCCGAGATCTTCATTAATTTTACATGGTTGTTATTTGTATCAATCTCAATATTTATATAACAATTTCTTAATGTGAACCGCTGTGGAAACATTTTTTCTAATTAATCTTTCTTTCACCTCGGAAAAACATACAATAATGAAACTGCAGCAGTGTAGCAAACAATGAGTTTTTTATTTCATGCTGCTCTAGAAAACTTTAAGAAATAGGGCTTATCAGACATCATGACGGCCATTTATGAACTCACCTTAATTGAATATCTCACTCTGAACAATTTGGTCTAATGAGCTATTCAGCCAAATAGCATTCGGCTATGTGACTTTACAAATATTGCATGACTCAGTTGCTCAGTAAATTCTGGGACTTTGCAAGCATAAGAGGTTTCGGGCTTATACATTTGAAGCAAATACATTTTTCTAAGTGTAGGGTAGAGAACTACTTCGGCCTAAGCGCCCATTTTGGGCCTATCAAGCAGAAAACATCAAATAAATCCACGATTTCGGCGTTAACATGTAAATTATGCGTTTGGTACGATACTTTAGTTCAAATGCTACCGAACGAAGTCAATAAGATCGCGCGATATGAATGTTTGCGCCCAATATTCTCAAATACAATTCTCAAAGCGCTTAATCTTTATATTCATCCGATAGGTCGATGTAAATTCATTGTCGTTTCAATGCGTTAGGCCGAGTTTGGCATCAAGAAGCAGTGTTAGACTTTTAACAATATCTCAACAATTTGTTTCTTTTTATCAAATTTTACGGTACGTACGGAAAGGTAAATAAATTTGGAATCCATCAGTAATAATAACATTCCGTTTGGTGCTAAACTACGCTAGAATAAGAAAGACGAAGTGCGGGTTGCGCCTAATAGGTCGAAAATGGGGTAGTTAACCGTATCTCGATCTTATAATTTATCTTTTGTAGAGTAAGGCGGGCCATGCTAAAACATTTTTTTTTTCAAAATCAACGAATTCATGCAACTCCAATAATGGTTTTCTTTTTTTAACCAGCATTAGGGTCTCAATGTAACCAATGTTGACAATAAAAAAGTAGATGATCCATCTTGCCCCACCTTACCTTACAAAAAGTAAATTATATGATCGAGGTACACTTAGAAACCCCTTTATACTATTTAAATTAAGAAGTTTATATGAGAATTACTATGGGAAAAGTGAACTTTTTGTTCTCATCGTTCTAGCCTTTTGCTGTAATAATCTGCGGAAAATTTTGCGGTATGTATTAATGTGAAATTTGCTTAGCTGCAACTGTGCTGAAGACCGTATTTGGGTTGAACGTCAGGATAGTTTTAAATTAATTAGGACGATGATATTCTTTTGACATGCTCTAAAAGCTGCTCAGCAGGCAACAATGGTGTGCTTGGTGCGAAGAATAGGTCAAAATTCAGGCTACTAAGGGAAATGGCTCTAATGTTGGTCTATGGATCTAAGATTGGGTCCATCGCTTAAAATCTGTTATATGTTATCTTTTAAATTTTATCTAGATGAACGCGTCATCGGGATGGTACTAATGGATATTTTTGGTCGCTATTGATAATTTAGTCTATTGCTGGATTTCTGTATGGGCCCAAATAAGGGGCATTTAGGCCAACAATACATCCATTTTCCCTATGTCATAAGTGCAAAAGACCCTGAAAACAGTCGATTAATCATATCAGAAAGTTATCGGCTTGGAAATCAATTAATAACTAATCACCTTGAAGTCTAATAAAAAAGTGGTCTTTAGCAAAGTTGTTACCAGGGATGGATCATTCTTTTGGGACTTTTTCGTTACTTTTTATTAAAGAATGCTTACGTTAAATCCAATTGAATTAAAAATTAAAACAAAGATAGTTTGGTGCTGTTAATCTCCCTATCAAAATATCCGCACCGTAGGTTCTCTGATCACGCCTTCCTTCGGATGGGAAGTAAAGCCGTTGGTCCCCGGTTCATAAGTTGATGGGGCGATAGGTAGGGTCCAGGTGTGGGAGCTGCCTCTCTGGCGTCGGTAGCATTGGTGCTCAGCACGGAAAACAAGATCGACGGAAAACAAATCAAAGGAAAAAAAATCCGCACCGTAGAGCCAGACTCTGTGTTTTCACTGAAGGTACACTTGAGAGCACTGTCGAGTGTAGCTTCAGTGAAAACACAGTGTGGCTCTACGGTGCGGGTATTATCAATTTTGATAGGGAGAGTAATAGCACTAAACTATGGGTAAGCTGAAAATTCAATTGAATTTAACGTAAGCATTCCATATTAAAAAGTGATGAAAAAGTCTCAAAAGAGCCATCCATCACTGGTTGTTACAGATAAAATTTAACATAAGGCTTGTACTCGAAAAAAATGCACTATTTTTATCCGTGTGTAACTTTTTTATTCGTGGGTAAGAATTCATGAAAATCTGGGTATAACTAGTTTGGAGTGAATTGTTTACATGTGCAAAATTTCATAACAATCGGTTCAGTGGTTATTGAGATGTCATCGAAACAAGAAGAAAATCGCCGGAGAATTTTGCGTGCCGTCATGGAAAATCCGACTGCGACCATGAGATGGATCGGAAGATAACTGGGAATCACCCATACAACTGTGTCTCGGGTGGTAACATCGTTTAAGGAGCCCCAGACGAAAAAGCGCGGGCTGGAAGTGGAAGAACATCGAAGACAGCTGACCCTGTGAAGGCCCGGAAGGTGTTGGATTATTTCAAGCGTAGTCCGAACCTTTCGATTCGCGACGCGGCTCTGAAGGCAAAGTGTTTCGCCTGGTTCGTTCAGCAAACCATGAAACGAGCTGGGCTTCGTGTATTCAAGCTCCGGAAGGCACCGAACCGGCGTGATCAACAAAACACGGCGGCCAAATCCCGCGCAAGGAAGCTGTATCGAGAGTGGTTAACGAAACCGATGTGTGTGAGATTCGTCCGGGGGAAAGATTTTGGGCCATAATGAAGGCCAAAGTTCGAAAATCGTCCAAGGTGTTTAAGAACGAGCTGGAGTTGAAGAAAGAATGGATGAAAGTGACCAATAAGGTCGGCTCCACCATTGCACAAAATGTAATGAGGGGTCTTAAGGGAAAGGTGTGGGCTTTCAGCGATGGAAAGGAAATTGAATAAAGTAATTATGCCGAAACATAATCCATATGTATTAGTTCATTCCCTGAAAGTTTCAAGAAAATCCGACTTAAAATTTTTGGCGAACACTTTTGTCTGGTGTATTTTTTTCGAGTACAGGCCGTATGAGGGGATAGCAAGCTGTTATGACAAAGTACTAGGACGTTTCCCATATACATTTCAAAAAGCCAGTGCAGTATAAGTTCGTATCCAAATAAACTCAAATTTTTGAATCAAGACCTGATATAGAATCAATTGAGCCTGCATCCTTAACTGTTAAACTAAAATAATGGACTCAAAACATCGGAAAGGTCAATGATTTATTTTTGAATGTAGCATGTAAGCCATTTAGTTGTATTCCAGCATTATAATATTTATTTAATAAAGATAATTTTCCCATATAATAACATCGAAAATACGCAAAAACAAAATTTTTTAAATACACTTTTGGTTTTTGCTAAATTTTATAAACCGGGCAATTTTTGAGATTTCATAAACTAGGAAAACTGGGAATTTCAACATGAATGCTCACTGACCACCCTGCTACAGTCAACTCCCACAACGCAATGATGAAGGGTCTAGCGACTGATAGAAATACCGAGCTATTAAAACAAAATCTTCGGGCATGTAAGTCTTCTGCGCCTTTACCCCTCCGTTTTTGCTATGACTGCAGCTCGCTGTGAAAAAAAAATGATTCATTATCGAAAACCACGCTTGTCTGTGAACGAAAAATCTAACCTTCCCCTCTCTGTTGTTTCTCTGTTCTCATTGCAGCCCCGGAAATCCTACAGCACAAGCGCCTCCGTCTGCCATCATCGGCTCTCCAGATCAGCAGCAGCAAAAAATTAACACCGTGGCGCTACATTCGACTGAAGCCCTGATGGCGGGCTTTCTCAAGTCGACCGATCTCGGTCCGCACGGTCCGCACGGATACGGCAGTTCGCACCATCCGCATCATGCCCATCCGCACGGACCGTTGCCGCCCGGAATGCCTATGTCATCGCTTGCTCCGTTTGGTTTGCCCCACGGGCTCGATGCTGTAGGATTCCCGCAAGGTATGTGGGGTAAATATTCGCTTTTTTCTATCTATTACTCACCCGCTAGCTGTAAGATCATTTGTATAATCAACGAAGAGATGGCCTTTGCAGCGCAGAGAGTGGCCCCAAGGTAGTTACTCGTGAACAGCCTTCAGCTAAGTGCTCCCATCCAAGATTCTCGATTCGATTCGGTAGTCACAAAAATGTGAAGAGGATTAAGCTACTCTTCTGCGCGACCCCGGGAGACCTACTCTGCGCGGCAAATGGTTCAAAACTAGTAGCGCTACACGTTTCGTTAATTATACAACAAGCGCTCATGATTGATATGTAATATTAGTTTTAGATCTTGTTAGTTTTCTTTCCCATTAGAAACCCATTTTTGTCATTTTTTTTTTGTTCGTTCGTGCGGTCTTATCTTTGAAACTGAAACGAATCACGAGAAACGGGACCAGCGATGGTCACTCTGAGCGTTGGACGGAGAGCATCAAATCACGCTCGAGTGACTTTCATGACAATAATTCATCTGTCATTTTTCTTAAAAGCATTCCCCGCATGACGAGGGGTCCAACTGCTCTTGCTTTCAGATTATTGATACCGTCGATGATATACCTTTGGGCATTTCGTCGGGGACCGATGGGAAATTTGTCCAGAAGCCTACTGAAGGGGGAGAAACGACAACGAAGATCGGTTTTTGATATGTCGATGACGTGGTTTTGCCGCCGCCGCCATGGTGGTGTTATGAAATATTCACACGATCTGCGAGAGATGGGTGCGTTAATTTTTCATTAATTCCATTAGAGCGAAGAGCGGCGGCCATACTCAGTCGTATCAACTTTCATTCGCGAGGACAACGGACTACCGTGCTTTTAATTGATCTGTTATCCCTCCTCCCCCGTGATATACCTCCGCTACCCTACAGCAGAAGACGTTGGTTCACGAGTTTTGATTTGCGAGCTCAGGTTTTGGAAATGGCATAGCAAAAGATGATAAATTTCATTTTGATTTGATTTTGATGATTTTACTTTGGTATCGCGCGGTTAGGTTTCCCAGAGTGGGAGCTACGAAAATTGTGACAACCACGGTAGTGATGTTTGGTCTTAATTACTTTAGCTGAGATGATTCGTCGAGGTAAATGGAGTCGAACACTAATGGAATATGAATGTTACATGAAAATTGAATTAAGAGAAATTCAGCATTGGCTTCGATGTTGACTCATAAAAAAACTTGACTTTTGGACGTTATTTGATATCATTCACTGGAAGGAATATTCGTTTGAACAGAAGAGTTTCATGCGAACGGAGTAAGTAGGTTATAAACAATAGAATAGTTATTTGGAGATTTTCTTCGCAATCGTCGCATATTGCAGATTTATTCAGCAGTGTACCAGAATATTCCTATGTGTCGGAATAATGTTATCCCTTTGTAAATATGTGTGCCAAATATTTGTCGGGATGAAAAGTATGACCAAAAGTTTTTTAAATGACATTTATAAAATGAATTATTTACGGAGTTTCATAATTCAAACGCTACATTACTGTTATCAAAAAATTGCCATAGTCGGTAATCCTTCACCGAAGTTTTAGCGACTAACAGGGCTGGTAGCAGGTCACTTTTAGTAACTTTGTCAGTATTTGAAGTCAGTCACTAAAAAGTCACTTTTCACACAAAAAAGTAACTAAAGTCACTATTTTCGGTCATGGTCACTAAAGTCACGTTTTCACAACTAAAATAGAGTGAAATGGAAAAATATCAACAACATTTTTAAATTGAGTACTTGGCACTAAGGAAGTTATAATTCTGGGATGATTTCTGAGGATTCTTCCAAGACAACTCTAAAAAGATCGAAATAAATTCCAATGGAATCGACTTTTGAGGGTTCAATCTCAAAGGAATTCTTCGAAGAGTTTCAAGGGTATTCTTAGATGCATTTTTGTTTTGAGAATTCTGAGAAAATACCATGGGAATTCTGAGGAGAATACGAATTGAATTTCCAATATAATTCAGGGGAGAAGTCCAAGATTATTTTAGGCAGAAATTTATGATATTTCTGAGGTTAATTACAAAGAAATTCTAAGGAGAATTCAAGTAAATTTAAATTGGGAAGAACCTTCATGGCAATCCAGGAAGAATAATTAAAAAATCGAATATAATCTGCTTTAACTAATTATGAATAATTAATGTATGCATGAAGTTATCGATTTACATAGTTGACGATGCTTAACGTCAAATATAAGACTTAAAGTGGACATTTTATACGATAGATGAGGAGATGAAAGTATAGAGTTGATAGTTCCGGTGTAGTACGGTAGTGTGAAATTCTATATAGAAAGTAGACGTAGAAAGCGAGCAAAAGACATTTTTAAGGAAGGAACGAATCAGGTAGAGCAATTAGGAAGATGTTAACGTCAGATGGCGATTTGAGTGTGACACAATTTATAGAACGGGAAACGAACCAGCTAAGGGCTGAAATTCTTCTTAATAGAGATATAAAAAAATGATAGAACTGTTTCCGCACATCGGAGGCACATGAGCAAATTGGCGATTATCCCTTTTGCCAGTGTGGCGGGGGAAACACCCCTCTCTACCACTCATCAACGAATGAGTTTGGTAAAAAGGAGAGACCCGATTCGTACATTCCTCCTTCCATATTGATCAATCAGTAACGTTTTTAAAAAAATCTTTGGGAAAATCCGGAAATTGCACTTCAAATGCTCTTAATAAAAGATTCCGTTGAGAGTTTCGATATAATTAGAGGAATGCATGAAATTTGATTTTAAGTTCCATGACGAAAACAGTTTGTTTGAATATTGAACCTTATTTGAGTTTTTGAGTCATCATATAAAAGTCACTGTTGGTTACTAATTTATTATTTAAAAGTCACTATTTGGTCACTATGTCCGTAATTTTAGTCACTAAAGTCACTACTATTATATCGTATCAGCACTACCAGCCCTGAACTAAGCACTCGGTAATCAATTCGGTAAACGAAATATTAATAGAATGACTTGTAAACTGCTAGAGGTGGCATAATGTCAAATGTTACCGGAGGATCGGTAACTTTTTACCGAAAACCTTTATGGAGTTAGGTAGCATAATGCTTCCCAGTTGTGAAATTGGTACTCAGTACGGAAAACAATATCGACGGGAAACAAATCAAGGAAAAAAACATTTTGTTATTGACACAAAATCGTAATGAAGATGGTTTGTACTATCTTTATCATAAAAAAACATTTATATATCTGGATAATGCTGGACAGAGTAGATTTTTCAATCGAGTACACTGGAGTAGCTTTTTACGCGGGTGATACGTCCCGCGTAAAAAAAAAACCGCGTAAATTCCGGAATCCGCGTAAATTCCGAAATTCGCGTAAAAAAACCGCGTAAAAAAAGACCGTGTAAAAAAAAACCGCTTAAAAAGCGACTCTAGTGTATAATGATAAACCGCGTAAATTCTGATATCCGCGTAAAAAAAAACCAAAATCCGCGTAAATTCCGGAATCCGCGTAAAAAAAAAACCGCGTAAAAAAAAACCGCGTAAATTCCGAAATCCGCGTAAAAAAAACCGCGTAAAAAAACCGTGTAAAAAAAACCGCGTAAAAAGCGACTCCAGTGTAGTTCAAAATATCACTCACCACTAGAACTCCGGAAAAAAATCATAGTTTGAGACACCCAAATTTGACAGATCTGCTTGGATTCGGCTTAAAATTCGAAGAATTCCTCAGTTTTAAAGTATAGGGATTGTCGTTGTTGGCAATTTTTGATTAAATTAAAACAATATCATGTTTCTGGATTTTGTGAGTTACAATGCTGCCAACATATCGCTGCGGAATTTCATGTTTTTTCATGTTTGTCCATGATTTGGTAGAGAAAGGATAGCGATTTTTCTGATAGCGATCTGATTTAATTTAATAAAATCAGCGAATTTCAGTAACATCATATACATATTTCGAAAGCTTTATCTTTTTGTTTTCCAAAACCGTTTGAAAATCTAAAGTTGGTTGAGGAATGATTGAGTTATTCTTGATAGTAGGCGATCACTTACACAAAATTGGGTTTTTAACAATAATTTTAAATGTAGGGGGTTTCAAATGTGATTTCATGTTGTACTCGACTAGACTAACAACCTAAGCTTCTTAATAGACTAGACTAACAACCTACAATAGTTCACTTGAAAAGTTCACTCTATTTTATTTATTTGTAATACTGTAGTAAATTTTCGTTTATGTTTGAGGAGTTAGATGTTAACATAGCTTTTTATCCATGAATCCTGTAAATTAAATGAAGGTTGGTTGAGAAATATTGCAGATGCATTGGAATCATCAACGGTAACATTTAATTTCATTCTAATGTTATGGCAAGCTTTGTGTTAACATTTCTACAGGGGTGATAAAATATGAAAATATGAAACGAAGAAACGTTCTTTTGAACCAATGAGTTCATACAGACTTTTCCAACCAAACATACAACAGCTTCATAACCTGAACAGGCACTGCGTAGGAAAATAAATACCCATATAGTTTAAATACCCATGTATATATATCAAAATAAACAACATGGAGTTCGTGCATACCTTCATCGTAGCAGGAAAAAAATATCAACAAATAACGAAGGCAAGACATATTTCCAGAGCCTGGCGAAAGTAAGAGGGGGGGGTGGGTGTGGGAGACTATGGGAGCGAAAAGCGAATGGCAACTGAATTACCGCGCTCAAAGAAGAGACCATAAATTGCCAACCACGTAAAAAGCAAGCAACCACTCACTTCGTCCTTGCCGCTTTTCCTCCATTTTCCACTCCACTGCCATCGCTGCTGCTGCTGTTGCTGCTGGAGATAGGAATCATCATAAAAAATAAATGACGTTTTTCTGGTGCCTCTCGAGAGGATCCCTCTCTGTGCATCGGGTCCATTCGACGTCGTTGGTTGGCGCAGCCGACTGTCGTTGCCGTTTACCGTCGGTTGCCGTTGATGGTATGGGGCGCTTGCACGAGCATTCGTTGGAACGAGAACTGGAAGGGAGTTGTTTCTACCT